TACTGTTGGTTGTTTAAAATGAAAATATGTATAAATATTCATATTGATTATTCTTCAATTTATGTAAAATCATTCATATTTTTTGTAAAGGGCTTATTTTGATATGGTTTATTTCATACATTCTTGTTTTAATATGTATGCGTTTTAATTTGTCATATTTTGTTAAAGTGTTTACTTTGTATTTAATGTCAAAAGGTTTTATTTTGGAATTGTGATTTTGATATGTATCACATTTAATGAGTTTTTTGTGCTTTGACGTACTTTTGCATTGTGTTTCTTTTTGTATTTAATCAGATTTTTGAAGGGTTCACTTTATCTAATACGATTTCATGTGAAGAATTATTTCATGTTTATTGTATTCTGATTGTTTATAAATTGTAACTTTGACTTTTAATTTGCAATCTTTTGTTGTATGATGTTATGGACCTTGTTTGTCTTGTACGTATTGTTGAGTAAGTGTTTTACAGAGTAGAGAGTAAGTTACACATGGTTTCTTGACCAATTCGGAAGTTTGTTGAATTGGGTTTTAAATTTTAAAGTTAAGAACAGCCAGGTATAGACTGAGGCAAAGGTGAAAGGAAATATGTTAGTGCAAAGACATATAGCTATTCTTTACCTCTTTATTTAACTTTAATTTTACCAAAATATTTCTAAAATATTCATGCAACGAAGTGGCTATGTTCCTTTCGCCCTAATTTCCTAATGTTCTGGGTCACTCACCTATGGTGTCACATATGTTTTCTTCTGGTAAATTACAGAATGCTATGGAAAAGCATGTAGCAATCTTTTCCACTGGTAGATCTGGTGATACCTCGAGCATACACCCCTTCTTCTTCTTCTTATTTTTTTAAAAATCAGAATGACCAATAGTGATGTATATAGCATCAACAACATGAAAAAAATAGCATTGCAGAACTATCAATATAATGCTTTTTTGCTCTGGAAAAGGTTTTTGTTGTGAATTGAATGTATACATAATTGCTTTACAATGTGTCACATTGTGTCTAGTCTCTATATTTTCTTCAAACTCAGTTACAATCGAGAGAATTAATTGCAACTACAAAATATTTTCTGTCAAACCTTAATATTTGAAGCTTCTACCAAGTTTGACGAGGAGAAAGTTTATCTGGAAGTACCACAACAGTTCACCTAAGTCTTCTACACCACCATTTCCTATAAACCAATGAAACCATGAAATATGGAGTAACCTCATCGTTGAAATATCCAACAGAGTTTTTAATAATATGTCGATGCAAATACCTTCATCTGATTTCAAATTCTTAGCAGATATATTAACAGAAAGAGACACCCATAGATTTAAAGTTTAAATAAGGTGTTTGAAATAAGTGCAGTTAAAGAAAACTGCAGAAATTAACTTACTTGTAAAGTATATTAATTCAACAGTATTAGATACAACTAAAAGGCTGGAGTAATTTTCAAAGAAGGGCTCAGACAAGCTTAGTCAGACACACTAAAGAAAACAAAACGATTGAGTAGAATAAATCACATTGATTACATGCCATAGCTAGGAAACAGCAAGCAATGAAGAGAAAATGAATACCACGTGCAGGCTAAATATTATAAAAATAACAGAAACATACAGTACAAGAAATGCTGAAGGCACATGTAAATTCTACATGTTAGATATACATGTTATTGTAATGTGTTCTGTCATTCTTTGGTAGGTTCTTTTGGATTAGCTGATACCATATCCAGTCCACGTAACAATAACAAATTATAGTAAAAGCTTTACTATCCTGTAATTGATGGGCGTGGGCAGTGCCACATAGGCGAAGATTCTGGTTACGAAATAATTTCCCTTACAATATCTTATATGAAAAATTTTGACACCTTATTAATGCTCTAAAGTAGTATTTCCACATTATATATAACAATTTTATATTTCCACATTATATATATAACAATTTTATATTTCCACATTATATATAACAATTTTATATTTCCACATTATATATATAACAATTTTATATTTCCACATTATATATAACAATTTTATATTTCCACATTATATATAACAATAACATTTTTATAGAATTATGGATGTTGTAAAAGTCATAACTTCAGGATGTAGAAAATAGTTCCAAATAAAGTAAGCAAAACGTGATTTACAGTACAGGAAGCTAACAACTGAAGCTTGCTGGCGCGAAAAGACATAAACAAAACCATAGCTGCAACATTAAATGACAGTGTTGGCTAGTTACAGTAGCGAACTTTCGAGAAGTTTTGAGAGCGTTCCCAAGACGTTCTAGAAGTAATTTCAATTAATGCCAGTTCTTGCAATGAGCATATGTATTTACAGATATTGAAATTTATTATTACAAGAGCTTTCCAGATGCGAAGATACGGATAACAAAGCTATTACTGTACTTTTTTTCTTTAACACTACAGTCACTCTCACCTATACGCCTAATTTCAAATACAAAACTTTTTAACAGAAACTCCAAAACTACTGCAGACCTAATACTCTAATATCATTTAACAGAAATTTTCTTGATTGATAACAAACCTGTCTATCTTACTGATTAGCTGACAGAAGCACTAACTGTATAACTTGCCTAGATCATCAACTACTCAACCATTGATTCTTGTATTTATACTGAACTCTAACTTCTATCAAGTATTGGAAGTTTATAGATTCTATAACTACTTATATGAACTATCTGTTTAGTGTACTTGTGTTTTCTTCACAAAAATGTTTTATATAAAGAATATTCCTAATACAAACCTTTTTAGAGTCATTCAGAAGACTTGTTTCCAATGAACATATTTTATTCTTCCCAAAAATATCATTATCAGCAATGGTGTAGGCTATGGCATATTCAAGCAGTGTAGTAAAAACAAGATTGAGGCAGATGAAGAGCCAGATGTCCAGAGCGTTGATATACCCTACAGGTGGAATAGCATTTCGTGACTGAATAACTTGGGTCACAAGAGTCAGCAAGGAAGTGACGCCTAGTGTCACACGAGCTGGAACTGCATCAAGTCTCAACCAAAAAGAAAGCCATGACATGATCACCACTAGGCTACTTGGGATATAAGTGTTGACTAAATATGCCATTAAATGGCGATCTAAGGTGAAACGGACAATCAAGGTGGAAAAATTACCTATAGTTGATCAAAGAAATGAACATAGAATGAAATTAATGCCAAAGTTTGATATTGTTTTAATTAACTAAGACTGTTGCATATGAAAGTCTCACGGTTAAAAACTAGACTTCTTTTTATTTTTTATAACAGAGAGAGAGAGAATGTGTTTTGAACATAGTGGAGGTTGTTCTTAATAGGTAGGGTAGAAGTCATTTAAAAACGTTTAACATTTTGTTGGATAGTCAGCATTGTTTCACTAAAATAAAATCTCGCCTTAGTAATCTTTTGGCGTTCTTTGAAGAGGTTACTGGTTATGTAGATAAGGGTACCAGTATGGATTTAATATATTTGGGTTTTCAGAAAGCATTTGACAAGCTCATACATAAAAGTCTTGTTAAAAACGTTATCTCTGTAGATGTGTGGGGAATAGATTGGCTCATTGGATAGAAAACTGGCAAGATGGAAGAAAGCAGAGGGTTGTTTTATTATAAATGGAGTTCAGTCAAATTGGAATAATGTCATGAGTAGAGTACATCATGACTCAGTGTTAGGGCCTTTGCTCTTTTGTATTTACATTCATGACATAAATAGAGAATTGGTCAATTGGTTACTTAGCTTTGCTGATGACATTAAAGTTTTGGGTGTTGCTAGCTGTAAAAAGATGCTGCTGCTTTATAAGTATATTTGGATTATTTGGTGAGTTACACGAGTAAATGGCAGATGGCTTTCAATTATAATAAATGCAAGGTAATGCAGGCGAGATATCATAATTTGAATTATGAGTGTCAGGTTTTATAGGGGCCGGATTCTTCACAGTAGGTGTCTGTGACTTGTTGGCAATAAATTTCAACAATCCACTTGTTTTAAAATGATATATTCAAAACAAACCAAACGTATATACAAAAATTCGTGACACTACTAGTTATCACAGTTTTATCCAGAGCTTTAAATAATTGTCTATTTTTCGTCAAAGTCCACACAGGCAGGTTCAATTACTTTAGAACATCCTTTGATAAAACAAATTATTCTCCTATATATCTGTTATTACAATACAAGCTGTGAAGCTCAATTTAGAAATCGCCTGTTAGACTAAACTCGCACAATCTAGATCTATCTATATCTCCATAACTAACTTTTTATTTACATTGTTGGGCGCGTATTTATAAATAGTCTGACTGAGGCCTAGAACTTTAGACGCTACGAGACATTATGATGTAATAATACTCAATGAAACAACGTGAAAAATGTAGAAGGTTCAAGTAACATGACGCGACAATATAATAATCACCAACTAGTGGACTACACAACCTATGATTTGTACGCAGTTACATAAACAAACCTGCAATAAATTAAGGCTTCTAAAAATACTAAAGTTAACACTCGCGTTTTATAACTATCTAAATCATAACACTCGTGTTAAACTTAAACAGTCGTGTATGTCTAACAATTAGTATCATTTTGATGGAAATAACGTTATGGAAGAAAAAATCTTGGTTGATCAGTCTCCTAAGTTATTCAAGCAATGTGTAGTTTAACTCTCATGTTTGTTGAGTCACTCTATTGAATAAGCCCCCAGTGGCACAGCGGTATGTCTGTGGACTTACAACGCTAAAATCCGGGTTTCGATACCCGTGGTGGGCTGAGCACAGCTAGCCCATTATGTAGCTTTGTGCTTAATTACAAACAAATAAACTATTAAATCAAGTGGATATGCCCTGCCATCTATTGAAGTAGATTTATAGCTTTTTTCAATTTCTGATTTTGTAATTTGATTTGTTGTTCTCATTCTTTTTATCAATATACTACGTTTTCCTCTGAAAACAAACTAAAATGTTACTATTATTATTATATGTTTTGACAAATAATGTATATTAATGAAAGTATTTACAAAGTTACATTAAAGTAGTACGACCTAAAGTCCATGCAACTACTTGCGTTTCCGGTACAACTTCAACCAACTTATATTCAGGAAGTTCGTCACCTCCGATGAGTTTTACACTAGGAATCCAGTCGTAGCGCCCTCTACTTTCCTTTGTCCATTGAATGTAAACTTCGTTGTCAGAATGAGAATCTGTTGGTAGTAATTTTATTTAGGATTACAAATATATCTAGATTTCCCGAAAATTATTTACATAGATACTTGATAAAATATTTAATATAAGACAGTAAAATATATCTTGCTATCTTGGACATTTTGCACACTGATAATAATAATAAATGGATGTATTTGCTAAAACATTTAACTGTCAGTCCGAGTTAGTTTTTTAATATGATTATCAAGTATTACAAACTTTAAAGGTCGGACAACATGAACGTTCAAAATATCTACAAATGTAAAATAAAAATAGAGGTGAAACGAAATAATAAAACTAATAATAATTCTCTGCTCAAACCTCAATATTCATGATTAAATGCTTAATAACGTTATTGTTTCTTTTAATTTTTACAACGTCTGTAAAGGATAGTAAGAACTGCGAAGTTACACTATGCACATGATATCTTTCAGATCTTACAAACACATAAAGTGTAATATATTAATCATTCAATATGTAAGTAATAAGAAAAAGTTTTCAGAATCGGAGAAATAGAGTAATTCTTAGGTACGAACATACGTTCTGACTCGTATCAAATGTACCTTATTTGTTTGTCTGTTTTTAAACTTAAAGCTGCACAGTTAGATATCTATTCCGTAATCAAAACTGGTGTCGAAATCCGGTTTTTAACGTTATAGCTTTCAGACTTACCATTGAGTCATTGGGGGCAAAAATATACCTTATATTAATTTCATAATATATTATTGTAAAAGGAAGCAACAGATGGCAGCAGTGTACACTTACATAAGCCAGTTCGAAGATGGCAAATCTGCCTGTCCATTGGATAATCTTTCAGGTTCATTGCACAACTAACTTGAAGAAGATACCTGGAAACATTAAAAAGAAGCGGGAGACGAAATAACTATTTGATTATGACAAACACGTGCATCATATTATGTATTCTGCAATTGAAAATTCAAATGGAATTTTTAATTATAGTTAAATTTTACGTGTCAGACTTGTGACTATAGGTTAAATGTTAGATTTGAACCTGATAGACGATGTATACGATGTTTCCTCCTGATATGTAAGTTCCAGGTTTTTTCACCATTCACACAATATAGTTTGTATCCTACTTTTATTTGTTTGTCCTATACGTACGACGGTATCTGCTTTCAGCCTGATTACTACGGATTTAAAAAAACAAACAAACGTCCAAGGCAGGGAGATGCTGTTATGTTGGGTAACGCTTCCTTTCTACACACAAACATTTATGTATCCTAATAATACACAATAAAACTTTGATATAATCATAGCTTATCACACAGAAAGAAGAAAAGTTACATTTTAAGAATTACAAAAATAAGTTGGACAAAATATGACAAACAGATTTTTATTGATTATCCAGGTAAAGTTATTTTTAACTTCTATAATTATGGTTTAAGTGATACAGAAAAACGGGTTTTGGCCTGTAGCATAAAATTTATTATTCCATCAAAAAGTTCTCAACATGACATTTATCAGCTGAATTTTGAGAAGTTGCTGCATCAATGGTATAAACAATCAATATGGCGGGAAGTGATGATCATTTAACAACATAAGAACTCGAGTAAGCGACATTGCTTTAACTTCTTTTAATGATTATTACTCTGGAAAAACACCTACGAATGTAATCAAGGAGGAATTTTTTGTCATAAACAGGTTAAGCGCTAATGAAGATGTAATCATAATCATAAAAGCCAAGTGTCGGTCGGTCACGCTCGATTTCTCCGAATTTCGTGAGTTACACCAGTCGAATTCTACTTTTTCTCATATTATACTTCCTCTTTTAATTGCCCATTCTAATTTTTATTGAATTCAATAGCTAACATAGGCGTAAATACATCCTAAATTTTGGCACTTTTTCTGCTATATAAAAGCCTGTCAAGGAGGGAGTTTTCATACCAAAGATTTATTTAGCACCGAGTAAAATTAATTTGCCGTTTGTTATGATGAGAAGTTTTGAACGATGGTCGAGTATTTACAAGAAATGTGGTTTTAAGAGAACTATTGCAATAATGTAATTGATGTGATTAGAAAATAACTGTGATCAAGGAATGCTGGGAAGAGACACTCTTTAGGTTAAGGAGATATTGCTCATGATAAGCTTTGGTTTCCAGAAACTGGAAGGCCCTTTATTTTATTTTATTATGTTTGTTTACGAGCGGCAAAGTTGCAAATGCATATTGAAGGATTCAGATTTGGTGGGATTTGGTTCCCTCCATTTTTGACGAGCTTTTATATTAGTTATTTATAAACCTGATAAAATAGTGACTCTGTTTATAAAATTAAAGAAATATTAAATGATAGGGACTATATTTGTGATAGCACACTCATCATCTGGGTAAGAGTCGGTTTGCTTAGCTTAATGATAAGAAATTTAGTATTATAAAGTGAAACTCTTCCTGAGTACGGAGAATGACGAGGAAAAATCTGGTGGTAAGTACAACATTACATTAATTTAGACAATTGTTATAATACTCCCGGTGTTGTAGGTTTGAGCTTTCTTGTGGTTGATGCAATATACTTCTGGTTACAGCTCGGGTACGCGAAAGCATACAGGGGAAAGTGAGGTAAGACAACACCTACGTTGAAACAGCTATGACGTGCTGCCATCTAGAGCAATATATATGTAACTATTATTTACGTAATCCCGTGCGTAAACACACTAACGTACGGTCACAATATTAATTATCAAAGCGCGACTTTATTTTTTCTTAATTTTTATGAACAACTTTGATCTGAGATAAGCTCTGTGAATTTTTTTTATGGTTACAAAGTAGATTTTTCAGGGAATTTCACTTTGTTGATTTCAAACAATAAAGAATTATAGCCACTCAAATATACCGTAAAAGAAACACATTTAAGTTCATAGGTTTTTTATAACGTGGAGTTGCATTACTATGAGTGAGGGGAATCATATAACCCCACACCAAAGGCGTGTATTTCCGTTATAGGCTTCAGCCACGATGTACGTCATTGCCTCACATAAGTACCCATGTTCCTTTTCGCCACTATCCTAAATAATACGTAACTTGTGCATGGTGATGTGGCCTTCCATCCATGCTTGCAGTATTTAAAATATGTTATGGTGTGAACGCCTTTTCTAAGGTAGCGAAGCATGATTATAAGTAACTATATGTGTCATAAGACATTAGAATTAGGCTTATGATATTATTTAACACTACATTATTTATTCAGTCCCCTAAGGTTTTTCAAGAAGAAGAGTGTATAACAGTGTTTCGGACAAATTGGAGCGAAACGTTTGAAAATGTTTTCAACCCAAGAGACTTATTGTACCCTGCGGATGTTAGGAGATTTTAGACCTAGTAAAAAATAAACAGTAATTTAAACAATTGTGAAACCCAGGTTTTGAAAGCCTTGAAAAACTTTTAAAGATATTGTACTTACTAAACTGTATAAATGTGTTTGTTTGTTTGTAATTAAGTACAAAGCTACACAATGAGCTATCTGTGCTCTGCCCAGCACGGTATCGAAAAAATGGATAAAGGTAGTTGTCATTGTTTACAGATATACCTCTAGATGATCAGTTTTTCTAACCTTCTTTTTGATGTCAATGAAATTGTAAAAGATATTACTAAAGATATTTTCAAAACACATAAGTTTTACGACGCAACAATCGCGTTTTACATTTGACAACAATGTCTTTGAATAGATAGTTAGAGTGACTGTAGGGTCCAGCCTTGTTCCCGACCTTCCTGACCTTTTCCCGCGTTTTCGTGAAAATGTTTAGTTACACTTCTGTCCTCAACGCTTTAAACCTATATAATACAGAAGATTTGTTGATTTGTTGACGACATGTTTGTGATGTTTGACAATACCGAGTTGGTTATAATACAGAAGATTTGTTGACGACATGTTTGTGATGTTTGACAATACCGAGTTGGTTATAATACAGAAGATTTGTTGACGACATGTTTGTGATGTTTGACAATGCTGAGTTGATTAACGAATTTCTCCAGTTTTAAGTGATAAACATCCCAAGGTAATAATTATTGTAGAAAATCAACAGAACGACAAATTCTCGTTTTTAGATGTTCATGTATTAACCAGAGTTTACCTAGCACTAAAATATATCATAAACCCGCTTTCACTGGATTTCTTTAATGACATTTTGAGAATTTCTCTCTTCCGAGCTTTAATGAAAAGCTGTATAAAAAAATCGCGTTTAAAATATCGGAAAATCAAAATAAATAATTAGAAGAAATTATTTTCTGTTGTCATTCTTAAAAGCTAAATAGAATATCCACACAAAAACTCAAAACTGAATATCCTAATTGTTGTTTTGTGAGGTGTTCCGAAGAAACCTGTTACATTAGTCATGCCGTAAAAAAGTTGATTCAAAGGAAAGTTAAGAAAATTTCCAAACAGCCATATTAACAAGTGCAGTTAATGTGTTTATAAAACAGAGTCTAGATTAATAGGGCTGTTCATCTTTAAAGATGAACAACATCGACTGAATAACTCACTTATGGTATATGTTCACGTGCCTAAGGTACAACCACGGGCATATTGAATCAATCACTAGAAGGCTCTGCAGTAGAATGAAAGAACTTTGAAACATTAAAATGTACAAGATCAGTAGTATAACCAACCACTATCCAAACTAATGTTTTATTCACTTCAAGTGATCAACCAAGATTTCTATCCAAATTCTAGAGAAAATAGGGAAAACAGTCTGTGTGATTTTTGTCTTAGGAAGGTCACAACATCGATAGATTAGTGCTCTTATGTTTAGGAAAAATGATTCTGTTGTTCGTTACATTAGTAACCAAGTCGTTCCAACCAAAAGATATGAAGTCACACATGTAGAAGTAATGAACTTATAGAATACAACGCAATACATGTCAAACAAGCTTTATCAAAGGTCAATCCCTGTAAAGATTCAATGAGAAAATAACTAAATTCAAGAAGAAACAATTAGGGAAAACTTGTCCCCGTTTTATATTTCACCTGGAACAAGTAGCAACATGAATATGAAAAGGGGGGGGGAGACAAGTTCCCCAGTTTTTTCTTAGTTAACTTATCCACTTTTACATTACAGCTTTACAGGGTTTGCCGTCTTATATAATTGCGCTCTTATATATATATATATATCACATATTTATGTTGCTGACCTATTTATTCTAACCCGGCTGTTTTCCTACCTCTAAAATGTTTTGATCAGGTAAATAATGACGTACATCTTAAAATATATATGTTATCTTATGGACACCGCTTATTTATTTTACATTTTTTGTTTTCTTTAATACATTTTCTCTGTCTTTTACACATTTGTTTTGAAGTAGTTAGTTTTATTTCTGAATATAAGCTTAATATTTTAGTACGAATGTTCGTGTCGTAAATGAAAATACTCCACCTACCGGGCGTTTCGTAAAATGCTTTTGTCAGGTAGAATTTTCACAATTGTGTTGGGAACTGTAGTAGAGAATAAAGTACCACTTTTCGTGTTCTCGAAGTAAATATCTGGCATCCATATTAGTTTAACGATATTATCTGGTAGTTTAACTGATTTTTCTGACGTCACACAGTCCACCAGTAAACGAGAATCCTCCCATATATCAGTGACATAAATATGCAAGTAAAAATCCTGAAAATAAACAAAAACATAGAATAATAGATATTGCTTAAAAAAACAGAAGCGAAATAGAATATACATGATTTAATTTCAAATATTCGATACAAGATATATTGGATTTTGAAAATGACGAGATTTTGGTCGCTTGTAAAATGTGAAAGAAAATATCGGTATGTATATACACAGGAACGGAAAAAAATAATGGAAACATATATGCGATACACACAGAGAACGAGTATTAGCAACAAGAGAGTGAATTTTTTAATGTTGCAAAAGATTATCACAGCAAATACAAAATAAAACTCAGTAAGATTGACAGTGTACTGGTATTTCGTATGTAAGCTTTTTGCTTTACAAAGAACATTACATCTTGTTTTAATGCTGCCATACCATTTATCAATGTATTATTCTGATATAATGTTACAGATTCTCTGTATTTCTTCCCACAATTTAGTGAAGTTATTTTGTTTGGCTGCTTTTTGATATTTTTAGTTTTTGCCCATACATCCTCAAAAATGTTCATCTCGGGACTTTGTGCGGACCGAGCTATGGTTGTACTGTTCCATTGGCTTCTTTATCGTCAGGATATTGTCTTATCACTTTTGCTGTATGCTTGGGGTCATTGTCTTGCTATAAAGCGACATTCGACGAGTCGGGTTCCTTGGGAAATGGCATACTGGATCACAACTGCCTGTTTTTGTATGCAGTCAGGGTAAATCACCGACAACGTTGACTGAGATACAGCCCCAAACTTCTACTGATCCTCCAGATTGCTTCACTGTAGAAGTACACTGACTCAATGCCACCGTTGACTGAGATACAGCCCCAAACTTCTACTGATCCTCCAGAATGCTTCACTGTAGAAGTACATCGACTCACTGCCACCGTTGACTGAGATACAGCCCCAAACTTCTACTGATCATCCAGAATGCTTCACTGTAGAAGTACACCGACTCACCGCCACCGTTGACTGAGATACAGCCCCAAACTTCTACTGATCCTCTAGCACACTTCACTGTAGAAGACACTGACTATGATACCGTTTTCCTCGTTGGCGTTGAACAAACGGTATTGATTGTTGTTGAACAATTTGAATTTGGCTTAATCTGTAATGAGCAAACGTTCTCTAGCTTTGATCATACCACTGTTCGTGATCCGACGCCCATTGAAACTTTTTGGTTTTGTTATTTTTTCTCAACAGCAGATTTCGAGAAGCTACATGCCTGATGATACTACTTAGCCCACTGTTTTAGAGATAACATTCACAACTGTGTTAACAACTAGATCGCTGGCAAGATCTGTACTCGAACGTCGTCTATCTTTTTTTCAAAAATAAAAAACATACCCTGAGGTTACTTAATATTACGTTTGAAGGGTCTCGGTTTTTACCTCGTCCACTTCTATTGTTAACAATGTCAACAATACGTACGTTTTCCAAAGTTGTGCCTTCAGCATAGAGTTTGACACAATTTTTCACGTAAAGTATCCGTAAAAAACAAACATTTATTTTGTGGTTGTCGTGCGGTTTTTTAGTTCTGCATTTATTCTACTACAACTGCACGACTTATGACTGCTTGTACTTTTATAGACATTATGTTGGTGTGTCACATTATGACTAGTTGGATTCAAACAATCACAATGTAAACTATCAACACGTGACTTTACTGTAGTACTCTAGTTTCATGCGATAAAGGGATACCATTCCCGCATTATTTGTCTTTTATATTTTTTATTTCCTTCACTGTTTCCATAATTATTTCCATAAAACCTTTAGAAACTTAAATAACTTGCACGGATCAGTCTGATAGTTTAGTAATTCAAAATATACTTAGAACGTATTTACCAGATCTCCTCAAGAACTAGAGATTTGAGAATCTGGTGTGTGAAAAGGCAGAGGTGTGTGTTAAACACAAAGTTACCCAACAGATTATGTGTGCTGTGCACACCACAGGTATTGAAACCCGGTTTTTAGCGTTATATGCCTTCATACTTACCACTGAGCCACAGGGGGGGCATTTGTTGTAGGGGGAATAAAAGACACAAGGCGCCGTGTTGAAGTTGAAATAAAAATAAGACGCCTTTTTTGCCAAGGAAGAACTGAAACAAAAAAATTATCATTTAATGAACTATTGTCGTGGTATATGTAACAGTGAAATAAAAATAAAACTTTTGTTAAAAACAAAACAAATGACAATAAACTGTATTTAAAGGTGGTGACTGACACAATCACCAAAGGTACCTGATAAAAACTTAAAACACGAAGATACTTCAACAGCAAGTTTTGAATCATTCAAGCTAGAAAACGAACTTGTTTGAAAACGTCAAAGCTGCATTAAGATTTCATCTTTTCTCTGTAGCGGACCAATGAGAAAATTGGATCAAAAATCTTCAGAAGTACTTGTGCTCCGTGTGACATTCGAGGTTCACGACTCGTGAATCAGTTCCATGTTCATAAAACACTGGATGCATCTGTGATCGGACCCCCGTTACTGGAAGTAACATCTAAGGCTGAATGTAACGCGACATTAACCGGATTTAGGATGCTCCAAATTAGAACTTTAAAACTTTAAACTTTTGGGAAAGTGTGATATCTGGTATTTGAATATCATAATAATACAATAAGGCATTTGGCAAACCATTCTAAGGCAAGATAATTGTTCTCATATTATTGTGAATTCAGACGATACCGTAGATTAATAACGCTGTTCCATGTTTTAATAATATTTCACCTTTAGAAAGCAATAACAACAACTAAAAATGATTTTACATCTTAAAAGCTACTTTTGTGTTGGTAGTTGATCAACATCTCACCCTTGACACTAAATTGCCTTACGCTGCTGATGTTTTTCACAAAGCATTTTCAGAAAGAGCTTCTCGGTATAGTTGTGAATCCAAGGGTTCTTGGTTCAAGGCCTGTTGTCGCGAATAATCTCTCCATACTATGTGGTTGTGCTATAAGAGTAAATGTCAAATCTCACTATTCGGTCAGATAGGACTATTCCAACAGCTGGCGGTAAGTGCTGTTGACTAGCTGCCTTCTCCATAGCCTATAAAGTCAACATATTGTTGGTTTGAACACCTATTTCTATCTGGACAATAATAACACAATGGAGGTTTTGTATCGTGTGGGCTTTCAGGACGACCAAGAAATAATGCATATCATTTGTCAGCTAATTTTGGTATAGTGATGAATGTGATCTCGAACACCTTATAATTATATATATATAATTATATATTATATATATAATATATATATATATATAAGTTCATGATGTGAATTTCATTAATGTTGGCTCTGAGAAGAAATGACGTTTATAAGAAGGTCTGAAAATAAGAAACGAGTATGTGCTTCGTAACGATTCGTGAATAATTTAACATATAAAGATATTATTAGGTATCTAAATACATCTGATCAAATGATAATATAGTATATAATAACCAAAATAATTAATACCAATATTGATCCAGATGAGGTACATATTGTTTAGTTATGGACTGTCTTCTCATTGAGCGGTCCTGATATAGCCTAGTGATTGTTATTTTGGGCACGGCCTAATAGCTAGCGTTCCGGGATGCGGGTCACAAAGTTTAGGGTTCAAGTCTTGGTGTCGCCGAACATGTTCCGCAGCCAATTCTAGAGCTGGACAATTCCCATGGAGTTGTGGGTACTCCTCACTGAATCCCTTTTTTTTCTGCTCAGTAATCTAAATTTAGGACTCTGTGCTCATTTAGTTTATGTATCAAATAAAGTGCGGTTCAGGGCGAAAATTTCAGTCACGTGGTATTTAATTTTTGAAGCTACTTTAGTGAAACCAACATTGTTTACAATCAAAACTTTTCGTTTCTTCTGCCTTAATTACTGGAAACCTGAGTGCTATTCTCGAACACCTTATTTAATGCTCTATGAAATAAAGCTTTCGAACCCGGGTAACTAGACTAATTAGAAAAAAAAAAGTCGGATTTTGGTACGAATTTTTCCAAATGTGTATTTCATTTCCATTTTTCAGAAAATGTATTTTAGTGTTGTTAGTCATAAAAATATAAAGCTTTAGTACATCACTCTGTATTTCAAATAGCTGATGGGTTATGTGGAATTTTTATGTTTTATTCTACTTTTTTGTAATATTTATGCAGCAAAAATGTATTACTTGTGATTGCAACAGAAACACGCGCAATTAAAAAAATCTACAATGAAATAATACACATAGAAACTGGATGAAGTTTTGGATATATTGCATGCGAAGCAATATGTTATCATACCATTGACTCCTCATTCACACCATAGATGTCATAGATCTGGACCGAAATGAACACATTGACAGGCCCTGTGTATAGAAACATGACAAAATGTTACATTTTATTTACGAAATAATATAATTTGTTTTAACAAATGTATACCTTAGGTTAGATTGTGTAGCTTTGTGCTTAACTACAAACAAACCTAAGGTTAGATAACGCTGTCAAAAGATATTTGAGAGACGATATCAAACAAAAGAATTTACTTCTAAGCAAACAATGGTAACTCTTAACATTAGAAACATAATAAAGTAAAATATCATTCAGTTTCACATCTTGTAAGATTAAACTGAAGATGAAAAGAAACAGATATAAATAAAACATTATGAGTGGCTAGCAATATTAAATGTACCTTTTATAAGATCCTATATATAGCTTCGAGAAAATATACTGTTGTATCACATTAAACAAATCGCGTCACTTCCTTGAAGATTAATATTAGGTCGTCAAGAAATTAATGTCGCTTTTTTAAATGAAAATATCCGAACAACTTATATATCAAAACATTTATTAAATGAAATAGTATCTATTCTTATCGATGATGCTTTTCCATCTTACAATCAAGTTGTTAATGCCCTGATTAAAGAAATCACTTGGCTTTGAAGCAAAAAACATGTCGGTGTCCTCTTTAACACCTTTTACATTTGCATACGTTTTCCCACTAAGATGGTGTTGCAGCGAACGAAAAAGATGGTAATCGGATGGTGCCATATATGGAGAATATGGTGGGTGGGGGAGAACGTTCCACCAAATGCAAAGCATTACTTCCTGCGGATGGAGTCCAGGTTTTTGGGTAAGAAGTGTTTTTTGTCTAGGACTGAGCCATTGTTTTTGGCGTTTAATATTCGCATAGAGAATCTATTTTTCATCGCCTGTGACAATTCTGTCCAAAAATGGTTCACGCGCATTGCGCGCAAGAAGAGACGAAGCAACGTTCACATGTTGGAAACGATGATC